TCCCATGACAACCATTTGGAGTACTTTCACCAGGGAATTTAGAAGACTTCATTTTGTATGGAATCCATAGCATGTAGAGCTGACATTTGACAGGTCACTTTGTTACACAGAGATTTGACATCCTTTTTATGACTTCTTCACAAATCTATCTATCCAAAATAATACACCTAAAATATTACACCACTGCCCAGCAGTTAATGAACATTTTGCAGTGGCTTACAAAAGTAGGAGTTTTGATTTTGTTGTCTACAGTATGGAACACCAAGAAACCCTGCAGCCCATTGCTGCTCTTTTTCATCCACTAAATAGTCTTAGGGCAGCCCATAGCATAGTAAAAGTATTTATACTTTGATGGTGACTAAAAGAATAGAAACTGAGGATGTGCAAATCTAATTCAAGTCAGGAGACTTTTCACTAACTAGTTTATACAGTCCAGTTGTAAGATTTTTTAGATAGCAAAATTACTAGAATTTTTTAGACACTGAGTTTAGAGAAAAGGCTATTAGCCCAAACAGTAGAGTTTTGTTCAGGGAAAAATTAAAACTTCAAAAATGAGAAGACAATTTTTCCTTTTAACTTCTTTTTCCTATTGCTCTCCATTTTCCCTGCAAGAAACTTTAGCCAACATAGAAAAGGAGAATTTCAAAAAAATTAATAAGTTGGCTGTCCCTATATCCAGTGGATGGAGTGAGTAGTGATGAGAAACCCCTTAAATAGTGCTTCCTCTGTTCTGTTCAGGAATAGTTCTTTAATTTCAGGGAAAGCATGTTGATCCTAAACCCTACACTCTCCATTTTTGGAGTGGGGTCTATTTATTGTGTTGGGGGGCATGTGTGAGAGGGGTGATGTTACAATCTTTTAAAATTGATTTTATTTTAAATAGTGAAGATATTGAAGATTTATAACACTAACCAATATAAACATAGCATAACATATGCCAGGATGTTTTCCTCCTAACCTTCATTATTTGAAGAGATTGATATTCTAATAGTTCCTTGGACTCAAGGTATGTATATTTTATCTGTCCGATATTATGGGATTATTTTTGTTTTCCTTGTTTTATATTAACTTTTTGAACATTATCTCAGAAATTTTTATTTCAGTTGAAATTATTCACTGCTTGAGAAGGAATGTTCTATTCAGAGGGTCTCCAGGAGACTCGAAAGCAAAATAAGCCAACTCACTCTCGGATTATGGTCTAATTGAAAATAGGCTAAACAATAATTTTGTATCATGTATAAAATACACATCTACACTAAGGCATTTTTGTTAGTATGTATTATTTATGTATGTATACATGTATGTATATATATTATATTTTCTGTCAGTAATTTACTGTCTTCATGCAGATTATGAAATTTTATGTTTATATCATCATAGTTATGAGTAATTTTTAATTATTTTTTCCATATTACTGACTATTTAAACATTATTTCATATGAATATATAAATTTTGACATATTTCTTAAGTTTGCAAAAAAAAAATACATTAAAATTTTAATCAGTATGGGCCACTTTGGTTAAATTCAAACTGAAAACCTGTGTTGAATATTTATTTATTTATATAAACAGTACTGTTTCAATACACATAAACAGGCAGAATCATAATATGCTATACAAAGCTTTCTGTGCTGCTTGGCCTATTAAAGTACTGTGAGTGAATAGAGGGAGCTCTGGTGGCATAATGCTTAAGGCATTTGCTAACCAGAAGTCTGGCAGTTCAAACCCACCAGCCACTCCTCGAAAGGAAGATTGGGCAATCTACTTCCATAGAGATACCACCTTGGAAACCCAAGGAGGGGTCGCTATGAGTTGAATCAACTCACTGGCAGTGAGTTTGTTTTTTTTTGATTGGGTGAATAGAAAGGTATTCAATTTGTTCTATGCTGTAAAGTTGAGCAGTCCAATTGGTAGAGCAAAACCACCTTAAAATAATTGCAAAAATCCTAATTCTAATATTTTAGCCTCTGTCATTATAAAAAACTAGGTCTTTAAAATGAAACTGAAATTGGTATGATACAAGGCTGTTACATTCATGTCTACATATTATGCTCTATAAGAATGGCCTCCGGTGAGCAAGAAATTCTGCATTCACAAAGCAACAAGCCCTAACAAAGGGTGTGCCCACCAGAGAAAGGTGTTCCATTTCCTAATTTACAGGGCAGCTTCTCATTGCCAAGCCATTTGCCTACAGTGCTGTGTCCACCAAGAAAGCCCATCTTCTTCACACTGACACAATAGAGATATATAGACCTGTGATCATGTTACTTTTGGGGAAGATTTCATGGATGAATTAGGTTTCAAAAAGGACCATTATAATTGGTAACAATTTATTATGAGGATCACAGGAGAGTGAGAGCCTTGCCTATAGAGAAGGGACAGCATCATCAATATGGATAGAGGAAGAAAGTGTGAGATGAATATGACATGAGCAGGAGTTCTTGAACAAGTTAGATTGATTGGAAGAAAAAGAATAGATGGAAAGGATAGCCAAATATAGACTGTGAGGTTATGCTTAAGGAATTTATATTTTATCTTCCAGATGAGAGATCACTATAGATGTTTGAGCACATCCATCATATGATAAATGATACCTTATTTTAGATAGAGTAACCTAAGGTTATACAGCATAAAGTAAGAGGAGAACAGAAAGACTGAAGGCAAGGAGACGAGGTTCAAAGCTACTATATACAGTTCAAGGTTTTCAGTATTTAGCCCAGGATCCAGGTATTGAGGATTAAAAAAAAAAAATCCAATGTGATAATGTTTATTATGATAAATTTTATTGTTTTTATCTGCTTCCAAAAGGAATCAATATATGTAATAGAAGATGTTGAAAATATAGATATTATTGTTGTTGTTATGTGCCATCGAATTGGACCCAACTCATAGTGACCCGTCCTTGGGTTTCCTAGGCAGTATCACTATGGAAGTAGATTGCCCCATCTTCCTTCTGAGGAGTGGCTGGTGTGTTTGAACCACCAGCCTTCTGGTTAGCAGTCAAGTGCCTTAGGCACTACGCTAGAAAATTCTCATATAAGCCATTGACATTTCAGTTGATTTCTTTGTTTTATTTCAATTTATACATGTTTGAATCATAGTTTATATTAAAGTTATATTTATATAGCTTGGCTTCTGTCATTTACTATATTGTAAGCCTTTCTTTTCTTATTAAAAGTTCCCAGAGGACCTCATTTGTAATGATTGCACACTATTTAAGAATACAGTATAATTAACTATTCCACTATTATAAATTTAGATTGCTCCCTGTTCATTGTAATTATCAAAACTATTATAATGAACACTAACCATATATTATGCCATGCTCTTCCTCTACCTCCTTCTGCACAAAGCATAAGTAAAGAGGTTGCACATTAGTTTATGTATATATTTTGCCTCTTTCCATTTCAACTCTGATCTACCAATCCTTACCCTTAGCCTATTTTAAAAATTGGGGGCAGGGGTTGTTTACAAATTTATAAAAGCTCCAATCATATAAAAGATATTAGAACTTTCTCAATTTTATTGAAATTATTGTCCTATCTTGTTGCTTCCATATAGTTGTATAATGTGCTTTAATCCATTCCCTTATATATATATGATTTGGAGTCCCTGGGTGGTACACACATTTAAAGAACTCAGCTCCTAATCAAAAGATTGTCAGTTCCAGAGATTCCACTCTCCCCAGAGGTGCCTTGGAAGAAAAGCTTGGCAATTCACTTCCAAAAAAATCAGCCATTAAAAAGTCAATGGTGCCAGTTCTACACAGGCATATATGAGGTCACCAAGAGTTGGAAGTGGTTCATTTGCATCCAAGTTGTTTCCAAATTTTCTCTATTCCAAACAGTGCTGCATTGAATACCCTTGCGAGTCTTTCCACATGCACAAAATTAAGAATGTAAAGTTCAAAATTGAATCATTGGGACATATAATGTGTAAATCTCCAACTCCAGTATCCCATGCCCATCAATTATGTCAACTAAAGTGTTGTGCCAATTTACATTAAATCCTGCAGGCAGAGTAGAAAATTCCAGTTTACTCACATATTGGCAATCCTTTTTCAAAAATACTTGCCAATATTATGTATGTGCAATGATGTGTCATTATTTTGTGAGGGAAGTAATTTCTCAGTTTTGTTTTGCATTTCTCTGATTACAAATGCAATCTGTCATGTTTTCAAATTTGTATTGACCATTCAAGCTTCCGGTCTGGAACTTGCCTTTTTTGTCTATTAAGTTGTTATCTTTTATATATCTATGTATTTGTGTGTGTGTGTGTGTGTGTATTCTGGATAGTAAGTAGTCCTCTGACAGTTATCTAGTTGGTCAAGGTATTCTCCCAGTGTCTCCTCATCTTTTAACCTTGTTTATTAGGTCTTTTATATGTATAAAAAATATTTTTGGTAAAATTATCAAATTTATCCTTTATGTTTTGGCTGTTATCCATTTTGATTAGCATATTTTTCTCCAAAATCAAAGGATTTTTTACCTATATTTTGTTCTAGTTCTTTGAGTCATTTTATATTAAAGTTGAAATTCATTTGATCCTTATTTGCATAACTACCAAATAATTTCCCAGACTGAGAAAACTGAAAAGTAGAAAACAGAAGAAAAATTTGGTAAACTGGATATATACCTATATAGGTAAATCAGTAGTTACCTACACACACACACACACACACACATTGACACACTGTATATTCATAATTGAATCCTGATGACATCTTCATATTTTACTTTAAGCAATGGCTACTTTAAGCAATAGATATCCATATCCACCATGGTTTGCAGTAAGGAAAGTTTACTGTTTTTCTCATTGACTTCTTAGAATATCCAGCAGAATTCACCTACATGAACTCCTGGCAAAATAACCACTGCTAACTCGGGTTGCACTTCCACTTCCCCTATATGTTTCTGCCTTAAGCTACCTAATTAGTGCCTAAGTCCAGGAATACTTTGTTATTTTTAAAACAGTTAATATAAGACTCATTTTACTTTCAGCAATTCACAGAAGCTGTGAGTCCTTCAGTGTTACCTCCTTCAGCTTTGCCGCTGGACCTGCTTAATAATGCTATTACTGCCTTTAGTACCTTGGAAGACCTTATTCGGTATCTTGAACCAGATAGATGGCAGTTGGACTTAGAAGACCTATATAGGCCAACTTGGCAACTTCTTGGCAAGGCTTTTGTTTTTGGAAGAAAATCTAGAGGTAAGCACTCTCTTCAGACTAGAACCTCATTTAGTTCTCTTAGTAGCTAGTGTTTCAGATTCTTCCGCCATAGCTTCTGAATAGAACAGTTTAAAATTCTTCAGTGATATAGTTGAATTATCTACTTTGGCAGTCATTTCAGCATATCTGCATATCCAATAAGTATTCATAGAAAAAAGAGCCACTTAATTATAAGTCAGTGAGTTTGGAAGATTAAAAGATGTACTTTTGCTGAAAATACCTGTTTTTCCTTTTCTTCAAAAATATTTTCAAAAATATCAGTTTTATGAAGTCTTCTGTAAGAATGATTCTCATGAGAATCATTGTTAATCATTGTTAACTCAGACTAATATTTTAGGTATATTGTTTTAAAACTCACGAGAATGATCATAGATGCAAAACAGATTTGAGGCTGGAAAAGGGAGAAGTTCTATAAAAATCATTAAGGACCATATCTCCCATGTGTCAGAGTTATATCAATTTCCATTTCCTAAGCCTAGCAACATTTCTAAATATTATGAAAAACAGGAATTATAAAATAGTACAACACAAAATAAAATTCATTGTTGCCAAAATTGAATTCAAAGCAAGAAAGTGATGACATAGAGAAAAACCATACAATGATAATTTTTCTCCCTATAAATTTGCTTCTGAAATTATTACTTTTGCAAATATGTACATTATACTTAATTCTACATAGTCAAGACGTTGGGAATAATGTTAATCATTTTTCTATAAGATCATCTAATATTCCTAGTAATAATAGTATTGGAAAGCATTCTTATCAGACACAAATGAAAATGTAACACAAATAAGTGAATAATTATAACACACTCCAAAACTTTGTTTCAGTCTGCCAGAAACTTTGAGATCCACCCATGATCATTTTAAAGACTAAAATGACAGCCTGGAAAATTTACATGGAATGTGTAACATTTAGTTAATTTGAGTCATTCACAAGGGCAGACCAGACTTGTTCTTCAAATCAAGTCAGAAAGAAATAGGATTCCTGTTCTTTCCTGTACTGAGTTTTGGCCCTTTTGAATATTGAGCTGTCATCTTAGCAGGTCGCGTTCAGACTTGCCCAACCTTGGTATTTTGCTATGCCAAAAGACATAGTATCCTTTCGGTGATATTTGGAATTGGTATTCAAGCCTATGGGTAGCTGAATCTTGTCTAGATGCTGAAAGCTGTTACATATTTACAAGATTTGATCTTGATAAATAACTTGGGCAAATCTACTGCAAAAGATTTCTTTAAAGTGTTAAAAAGCAAAGATGTCACTTTGAGGACTCAGGTATACCTGACCAACCCATGATATTTTCATTCACCTCATATGCAAGTGATAGCTGGATAATGAATAAGGAAGGCCAAAGAAAGATTGATGTCTTTTAATTATGGCGTTGGTGAAGAATATTGAATATGCCATGGACTGCCAGAAGAACAAACCCATCTGTTTTGGGAGATGTACAGCCAGAATGCTCCTTAAAAGGGAGGATGGTGAAAATTTGTCTCATGTACTTTGAACATGTTATCATGAGACTAGTCTCTGGAGAAGGACATTATGCTTGGTAAAATAAAAGTTCACCAAAAAAGGGGAAGACCTTCAGTGAGATGGATTAACACAATGGCTGAAACAGTGAGCTCAAACACAGCAACGATTGTGAGGTTGACAAAGGACTGGTCAGTGTTTTGTTCTGTTATACATAGAGTCACTAAGAGTCAGAACCAACTCAAAGGCACCTAACAACAAATAGCTTGATCAGTAACATACAGATACCACTTCCCTTCCCTCCTACTTAGGAACAGGAGAATGATGATCTGTAAGGCTAACTGAAAAACCCATGAATAGAGCCCTTGTTAGCAAATTTGAAGTTTATTATCATGTAGATCTGTAAGAAGTAGTGGGAGTGAAAACGTTCTAAGCTCAGATATAGCTTTTTGACAGCTGATTTCTGGATCCAAGCCTAAAAACTTCCCTTGTAGCTATGTCTTTAGGCATAAAGCTCTATGCATAGCACTCAGTGAAGGTTTGGCCTGAGTTTAGCATGGATTTAAAAGTATCCAACACTGAACCAGATCCTTCAAATATTCATTTAACACTTTCCAAATTGAAGCACTCTGCAGTTTGCCAGAACTATTAACATTTTAAGTGAACAGTAAGTGTGAGAAAAGCAGTGTATATTTTTGGAAGCTTACATAAACTAAAATGCAGGTGTGGGATAACATCTATATAGACAAAACCAACTCCCTGCATGAAAGTCTACAAAGGAATGAAAGTAAAACTTCTAAAAGCTTCTAATTAGACATTGAAATCTATAGATTTTCCACTGAATAAACATATCATAGTGTTACCACATTCAGCTTACAAAGACCACCCTCAGATTGCATTTCAGTATTAGAAATTCTGTGGACTATCTTAAAAAATTAACAGCTCACAAAGTAAAAACTATTCTAGTTTTTTAAAATCAGTATTACCATTTTGCAAAAACTTACAATATTTAATGAATCTGAATAAGAAAATATATGCTAAAAAATAAGTTTCCTGGGTGATGTGTTCAAAGCCATCATTTTTAGAAAAACAAACTAATACATATGTCTAAAGAATCATTATGTCTAAAGAGGCAATAAGGATTCTGAAGGCTAAGTTTTATTCCTATAATAATATAGTTAAATTATAAAAATATATTTGGAACAGAAATTTTATTTCTCTTTTTTTAAAATATAGACATTCAAATATCTGAACAATGATTGTAGATTTTATGATATAAGATTATCTTCACATGTCTTATTTTGGTGATATGTATGTGAATTTGAAGCCTTCAAAATGGGAAGCACAAATTTCAAAATGATGTGCCAAATATAAAATCCTTAATTGTATTTTTCCTCACATTATGGTCTGCATTAGTGCTTTTTTGTTTCTTTCCTTTCTCTTTCTTCCTATGGTTCACTGGTTTTCATTCATATCTTGCTACCACAGTAAAAGAAAAAGAAAAAAACACTGCATTTTCTAAGTCAGATTTAACTAGTACTTAAAAAGGACTTTTGACTTTTGTGTCAAACATGATAAATGAATGGAAGCCAACTTGAAAGTGTGTTTAAATTTTCACATTGTAGCAGGTATCATAACTTGCTTCACTTGGGAAATCTATCTAACCTTTTATTATGGTTAAGTAAACATTTTAAAGCAAACATATACAGTCTCATTTTCTAGGTTCATGAAATAGTGTGTAAAACTATTTGAGGTAGATGACTACCTTTTGAAGCCTAAGAGCTTCAATCACATTCTAAAGAAGTATAAATCTTAAACAAGCTTTGAAAATTTTGGCAATGGGTTTTTCCTGTGTGTATGCATGTATGAGTGCATGCATGTGCACTTTCTCCACCTCCATGCCATACTAATTTTAAGAGAAACAATTCAAATAAGCTCACATATTGTTGTTACATGCCATCGAGTTTTAAGAGAAACAATTCAAATAAGCTCACATATAGCTTTACAAAAATATGAGGAAATGTGTGTAAAGTGCTACTATTTCAGCAAAATGAAATCAGGTAATATATGTAATATTGTTGAATTATCTCATTAATTTTATAAATTCTTCATTTCATGGTATTCAAAAAAAAGAACCTATTTGTTTTGGTTCTCTGGTGTTGGCTCTAACAGAAAATACCACAAATAGGATGGCTTTAACAAACAAGAGTTTATTCTCTTACAGTTTGTGAGGCTAGAAGTCCGAGTTCAAGTGCCAGCTCTAAGGGCTGGGTGAAGGTCCCTCCGCTTTGGGCTTAAGCTCTGCATCTTGCTCCTGGCCACTGTAGCTGGAGGCATCTCTTAACTCAGGCATCTGCTGGCTGCTGAGGCTCACAAACACTCGTTCACCAAGTAAAATGGCACAGTCCAAAGATTATCAAGCAATATAGCAGGTCACTAGTTCAAGTCTAGAAACAGTCCCAAGATCGGCAAACAACATGGCAGACCACTCACTGATGACTCAGACAAATGCAGGATCCAGATGTGCCAAGAAGCTGGAGACCTTTCTCAAACCTTCTTATTACATACTGGAAGAAGACCACATCCTTACTCAGCTGCTCGTAGTAGATTCTACCATGGAGTTAATTATCAGTCTATCACAGGAAGTAACTACCTATAGCTGCCCAGCCACTCAATACTAGGGCCCAGCCAAGATGACATACAACCTTAACTATCACACCATTTGTTCTTAAATATTTAAAAACTTTACCTTCATAGGGTCATTCTTCAGATGAAAAATAACTAGATAATCTGATAGGATACATTTCCTATAAGGAAAAAATAATTTTTTAGCTGAGGAAGTTGTTGAAATGGGCTGATTGAATTAACCTTTCCTTGGTGATTTCCTGTACTTGATGCAAGTGTTGGCATACCATCTAGTTACATGAGTTTATCATTTAAAATCACATGTACATAATTCATAATATGTTCCTTCAAAATAAATTGGCTCCCTTTGACATTTTAGAAAAACTTGATCACATACAGAAATGTCATGTAGTGAAGAAAACATGCATTTGTTTCTTAAATACCTTACTTTTTAATTATTTAAAATATTAGTACTTAATTTTTAAAATTAGATCATGTAGTGATTATTCCTGCCTTGGAAACCCAAGGATGGGTCACTATGAGTCAGATCCAACTTGATCACAGTGAGTTTGGTTTGGTTTAGTGATTATTATTTGTAACTAGTTTTTGCCAGAAAATACTATTTTCTTTCTTTCTAATCATGTTTCTAATGATTAAAATATTATTGAAATGTTTTTAGCCAGATATATTTAAGATATATTTTAGTTAATATTCCTAAATTAAAAAGCAAAACAACAACAACAAAAAAAACTCTATTCTTAGAAAAAAAAAATACTGAGAAATCCTGAAGAGTTAAGACATTATCAATCACCCTTAAATTTCACTGGAATATTTTATTTGAATATTTCTAGAAAAAAAAAAAAAAAGACACTGTTGTTTAGAAGTTTTTGCCCTAATAATAATTAACTCCTCTTCATATGTTATGTATAAATTCACATATAACATAACATGCTATTTTGATATAATTTTCCTGAGGCAATATCATTTTGTAGTTAAAAACAAATGGTTCTTTGAGGATTTACTTAGACAATCTGATGAAAGGATATTTTGTTTGGTCTTCACAAATAGATATTCTTTTAAAGAATAAAGCACAGAACAGTTAACCAACTTGCTTAAAAGAATTGAGACAATGGTTATAAATTAAACAATTCCTTAGTTTTTCAGAAGTCGAAAGATAGAAATCTGAAGGAATCTAGTTAGTCTAAATTTCAAAGATCATAATCCTTAATAACCAGAAACAGTGCTTTTGAACAGTTACTGCTATTATAAATGTATATATATATAAAAATCATGGTCCACTCAACTGTCTTCAAAAATGGCATTTTCCTCATTCCCTTTTTATATTTTATGATTTATATTGCCATAAAGATTATAGAAAGTTAAGTTGACAAGTTTCTATTCATTACATGAGTTTATAATCCTTTTTAATCAAAGCATTCACCATTTTGCAATCTATTCTTCCATCTAATGCTCTACTTGTCTACTTTTTTACTAAGGTTAAAAGATGTAGCCCTCTTTTTCTCTGTAAATTTTTCTATTTATAGTTCTCAACTGTTTTATTGGCTCTATCCTTAATATTGCACAATGGCATCTCTTTATTGGTCACTAATTCATAATGAAGCTTTGTTTACTATAAAATAAAGTCCAATTTGCAAGTGTTACATCCCTAAAATCTAGTTAAAAGAAAAAGTAATATAAGGTCTGTTGTTCAGAATGGTGACATAGTGCCTAAGGCATTTGACTGCTAACCAGAATGCTGTAGGTTCAAACCTACCAGCCACTCCTCAGAAGGAAGGTAGGGCAATCTTCTTCCGTAGTGATAGCACCTCGGAAACCCAAGGAGGGGTCACTATGAGTCGGATCCGACTCAATAGCAGTGAGTTTTTTTTTTTTTTTTTTTTTAATTCAGTAAATTTCTAAATTTCTTTATGAAGAGAGTTAAATGAATGTATTCAACCTTAAAGTATGAAAACTTATTTTCCTTCACTTTTTTTTTATGCCATTTAGTGGTGGATCTGAACCTTCTAAAAGAGGAGGTAAGATTATACAGCTGCACTCCTCGTAACTTCTCAGTTTCCGTAAGGGAAGAACTAAAGAGAACGGATACCATTTTCTGGCCAGGTTGTCTTTTGGTTAAACGCTGTGGTGGAAACTGTGCCTGTTGTCTCCACAATTGCAATGAATGTCAATGTGTCCCAAGCAAAGTTACGAAAAAATACCATGAGGTAAGTATATGGTATCTTTTTCTATTTCCCTTGCATATTTTGTGTACTGAAAATAATAAAACAATGAATCTGAAATTCACTGTAGTCAGACAAAAGGGATGTGGCACACATGGGGAAAAAATCAGGGCTTAAAAATATTTTGTCTCCATTTTTTAAAATTAGGACACTTAACTGAAAATCCAAACTGAGGATTTAGAAAGCTTATCCTCTGATGGGTGAAGTTTTGATCTTTCACACACACATACATACACACACACAAAGTGTGTCCTTCTGCAGAGAAAAAAATAAATTGGTAAAGCTGTTCAACTTTTAACATTTTAAAATAGAAAGTAAAAATATTTTAAAGACAGAGATAAATGATTGTCTATTTTGGAGAAAGGAGAACTTTGATATTTGTTTTACTATTTGGGGGAGTGTGGGCACATAAATCCCAATAGGACGTACTCATAATTATACCAATCTTTCTTTTATTCATGATGCCCCAAATAGCATGTGAAACCTTTTACTGTTGCTTCACTCTTTTATATCTTTATCTCTAAAATTAGAGAAAATGTAATATTAAATTTAAATTAAATAGTAATTTTTGTTTCTTGGAGCTTATACACTCCAAATTTTCATTAGTGCTTGAATATCTCCAATTATTTCCTACCATCCCCTTATAAACAGCCAGCATTTTATAACATAAATCAGGAAGCAAGGCCTAAGAGTCAGCTTTAACTTTTACAAAAGGTTTACCTTATACTGAGACCACATCTTTCTTTCCATGACTTCATTTCTTTAATTTTTCTTCACTAAGTAAATAACAATACAGAATAATATCTACCTTATAAATAAAATGATTTTAACATGTATAAAGACATTACTGAAACCTAAGACATCAATTAGGTAATCTGAACATGCACAGTTTCATAAACTGCACTTTATATCACATGACTTTCATGCCCTTTACTATTATTGTATTGGCAGCTGGTGAAGTGGGAAAAGCCTTGGATTGTAGAAAAAAAGGCACCCTATCTACAGTCCTAGATCTAACATTAACTTGTGACTGTCTGTAAGATATTTAGCCTCTATAAAATAAGCATGTTGAATATGATGATCTTTCAGATTTTTCCTAGCTATGTTATTCTGTAACAATTTCTGGTAGTCTTTGGAAGGTAACTTCTAAAACTGAGGAGTCTGTGATTAAAAATAGTACTATTTGTTGTCATTACTTGTGTTCTACTTTCATTTTTACAGCATATGCTTTTAAAATTTCTTGTGCTGGGAACTGACTCTACTTCAATTTCAAAAACTAGATAGTCCTGAGCATGGTCGCTCCAAGGAGTCCAGGCAAGATGTGTCTAGAGGCCAACCTGGTTGATGCTGGGAATCTAGTCAAGAACAAACCCTTAATACTGTAGTTCTAAAACAGGAGTCTCAAATTAAAATGTCCTAAAGGCTAAGCAGATATTAATATTGCTCACTATAATATAAAAGGATGTGATGAGAAAATGACTTAAACTAGGGTAATCTTATCCCACTTAAACTCATTTTAATTTTGAAGTTTTAAAAAAGCATATCCTTACTAAGTAAAGTATATCTAGGGGCCTGATTTAGCCATCAAGTCTTGGATTTATAACCACTATAAGGAGCTCTGGTAGCACAGTGCCTAAGGCATTGGATTGCTAATCAGAAGGTTGGTGGTTCAAACCCACCAGCTGCTCCAAGGAAGGAGGATGGGGTAAACTACTTCTGTAAAGATTTACCACCTTGGAAACCCAATGAGGGTTGCTATGAGTCAAAATCCAGTTGGCAGTGATTTTCTTTCTTTCTTTTTTTTTTTTCTCTAAGAGCTAAGGAGCTCAGGTGGCATGGTAGATAAGGCATTTGGCTGTTAATCAGAAGGTTGGAGGTTCAAACCACCAGCTGTTCCACAGGAGGAAGATGAGGCAATCTACTTCCATAAAAATTTAGAGTCTTGGAAATCCAATAAGGGTCATAATTGACTCAATGTCAGTGAGCTTGGTTTTTGTTATTCTAAGAGATATAAACCCAGTGTAGTCATATTAGCTTTTCTAAAACAACCTTATCAAATACTAACCCCATATCATACTTGCAGTCAATTAAATCAATCTCAAGTTCAATCATATTCTGCACCATCTTTCTAAATAACTAGTTTTATGATTCTTCAGAAACTTGCTACAAAATATGCTAAATCTCTTTTCAGTCTCAAGTAAAACTGTTGTTTTTGGCAAGGCTATGAATACTATCTATAGATTCAATGGACTTTTTCCAGTTTGACATTAATCCATTATTTCCCAGCCTTTGGGTGGGATTGATTATAGATATATAAATATGTAAACACATATGCATACATATATGAACATATCCATTAATCTAATTATATAATCACCTGGTGCAAGTGTCTCACAAATACCTCTAATATATGCATGTGCATATATGTTACTATACAGTCATCTAATCCACAAAGCTCACAAATATCTCCAATAACTGTCATGTCCTAATCTTTAAAATATTTTGTGGAAATCACTAATAATTCTTATTAAGCCTACATACAGCAGTGTCACTTACCCTTTCTAAGCCTCTGTTCACTCATGTGTAAAATAAGGGTATAATTGTAAATTGCCCCATAGAATTCTCGTGACTTAAAGTATGTATTACTATAGTGTCTGGCAACCAGTAAGCATTCAAAAAATGTTAGCTGATTTTCCTCTGATATAACCAGCTACTTATTTTTAAAAAAGAAAAAGAAAAACCTTAAAGTAGACTGGTAAGAAGTCCATTTGGAGTCATTAAAACTCAGAAACTGTATCCTTCAGATGTTGTTCTATGAGTTTATCTGTGTCGCACAGAAAGCAGAAAAGCTAGACAACTTCCTATTTTTATGTGCTCTATTATCTGTTCAAAAGACAAACATAACACAATTTTTGTAACTTTATAATTTCTATTATAAGAACTAAAATTGAATACACTTAAATTGGTTGTGATTATCAATTATTTCAGTTAATCTTTTACAGAATATGTAAGTCTTCCCGTTTGTCACAGTGTTAAAAGGAAATATGTTATTATCAGTGTCAGTTTTACTGTACTGTTTATTAAAAATCCCAACTATCCAAACTGTAAATAACTTCATTTAATAGAGGCATTATTGTTCTTATTGCCAAAGTTCCTTATTCTGCACAGTAGGATCCAGCTGTAGAAAGTTAGCTGTGACCGAGGCTGATGTCTATGAAGTATATCTAATCCATCTCATCAAGTTTATAGAGGACTTGTAATGTAGCCAAGAAAATTAATGAGTGGCATAATTGAGCAAACTCAGCTGTGGAGTGATCAAGTTTCTTGCCACAGTCTTCCCATACTTAAATGTATTTCTTCAAATAGAAATATTAGTTAAACATATGAATGAATGAAGGAAACCAACAAACAGAGCAACTAATTGTGCATTAATAATTCCAAAATATTCAATCAAAATGAAGTTCTCTCTTGTGTAGTTAAATGAGAAAAATAAAGAAAATAGAGAATGAACAGAGCCTTCCAATGCAGACTGTTATCTATTCTGGGACAGTGCCCTTCCAAATTGTTGGTATGAGAATGGCCTCTTTTTGTGAAATAATGATGATAATTTATGATAGATTTTTATGAGTGAAAAAGGTGGGCATGTTTGTTTTACAATATTCTTTTTAGAAAAAAATTAATATGGTAAGCCTTTATTAGGCCTCATGATTTTTTTTTTTCTGAATTTTTTTTGTCTAAAATGTCGAATGTTATAGACATAAGGTGCATCAGTTGATTCTTAAAAGTGCCTTCCATTGTTCTCTTTCAGGTCCTTCAGTTGAGACCAAAGACTGGTGTCAGGGGATTGCACAAATCGTTCACTGACGTGGCCCTGGAGCACCACGAGGAGTGTGACTGTGTGTGCAGAGGTAACACGGGAGGATAACCACAGCACTGTGCTCAGCAGCCCCTCCCAGAGCAGTTCATTTACGTGGCTGATTCTCTTATAGAACTGACTGACACATTATCTCCATCCATAATCTCAGTTGTTTGCTTCGGGGACCTTTCATCTTCAGGATTTACAGTGTGTTCTAAAAGAGGAGACACGAAACGGGATTAGGAGTTGTGTGACAGTTCTTTTGAAAGGAGGCCCAAAGAACAGGAAAAAGGTCTTCAATTGTGGGGGAAAAAAATTGTATGTTGTAGATCACTAGCTAGTTACAGAGTTACCAGGTACCTATTAAGCTAGCTATGTTTTGTATTTCATTTCTCTTGGTAGGGCTTAGGTTAATGTCAGCACAGGAATAAACTGTATGTGCAAATGAGGACCTGAATCTGTTGCCTTGCTTAATTCTACAGCTCCATGTTCTGGGCCTAAAATCACAGAAATATGGAATTTTTGTCCTATAGTCACATTAATAAACCAGAATGTTCTATGTTCTACAAACTTGGATTTTACAAAGGAACTATGTTGCTATGAATTAAACTTAATTTGTGTTGTGCTAATAGGAAAGACTGGATATTTCCATATTTCTTATTAAAATCTGTACTGTTTAAAAGAAGAATACTACATTCGTGATTTGGAAGAGATAAACATGAAAAGAAGAGTGGCCTTATCTTCATTTTATCTATAACTTGGCTTATTTGTTTTATTGTGTACATTTTTATATTCTCCTTTTGACATTATAACTTTTTGCTTTTCTAATCTTGTTAAATATATCTATTTTTACCAAAGGTATTTAATATGCTTTTTTATTACAACCTAGATCAACTATTTTTTAGCTTGGTAAATTTTTCTAAACAGAATTCTTATAGCCAGAGGAACAAAGATGATATAAAAAATATTGTTACTCTGACAAAAATACATGTATTTCATCTATGTATGGTGCTAGAGCTTAGATTAATCTGCATTTTAAGATATTGAAGTGGGGAATCAAAAGAATTTGTAAGTTCCAAAGACCCTTCAAAAAGAATAAATTATAGCATCTTTCACCCCTATTATTGGACATGCAAATAAAAAGCAGTTTTTGGAATGCATATTCAGATCCAGTCATCACTATCTCCTAACTCTTTCTTTGGGAAATATGAGCCTAGCTCAGAAGACCATAAAGCACCTTGGAAAAAAGAGACTCGACAGCTTCCTAACAAAGCGTGCTCTGGTGTGCTGTAGGAACACATCCTATTTATTGTGATGTTGTGGTTTTTATTATCTTTAAACTCTGTTCCATACACTTGTATAAATACATGGATATTTTTATGTACAGAAGTATATCCTTTAACCAGTTCACTTATTGTACTCTTTGGCAATTGAAAAGAAAATCAGTAAAATACCTTGCTTGTAAAATGCTTAATATTGTGCTTAGGTTATGTGGTAACTATTTGAATTAAAAATTGTATTGAATCACCAAATAAAGGAATGAGGCTATGTGGGGATGAAACTGAGTGTGTGTGTGTGTGTGTGCACGCATGTCCACACACAATATTTGTCTCTTAAATGCCAAGAAACTGAAAATAATAAATTTAATGTTACCATAATTTTCATTATGAAAAAAATATGTCAATTGAACAAACAGGTAGAAAAAGAGGACATTTCCCTTGAAGCTTTCCGACATTTTCTGTTCAGTACATTTGAGTAGTGATTTTATTTCTCTCACTTGTCTTGATGCTGGCAAATTAAATTGCTATGGATTTGAAAATCATATGTGTTTATGAAATGATCAATGATCGATTTTATGGGTGTGTAAAACTAGGGGAAAAAACCAACAACCTGTAACCCTCTTCTCATATCTCCATTTTCAGTGCCAAATGCTAAGTCTGATTACATAAATTGTTTTGGTATATGTGTTCATGTATTTAAATACAACCCTTCAAGATGTAGATCCTCAATTTCAGATGTAGCCTTCTATGCAGGCTACCTTCTGAAATTTGTGCTGTCTAGGGCATGCTATCTACAGGTTATTTGGGCCTTTTCCAGGTAGTACCCTTTTTTGGTGCCTTTATGTCTTTCAATCCTATCCTATCCCCAACCACATGAAAAACAAATAAAATGAACATAGTTTCTCTGTCTTATTTCCTAACTTTTTTACAGTTTTGTCAGAGCCCTATAGAGGTTTACTTAACTATGTATGTATTTACATATATAAATACATATATATGTTATATGTATCTACATGCACACACATATATATATATATATATATATTATAGATATATATCTACAGATACATGTCTATCTATATATATAGAGAGAGAGATTAGATAGATAGATAGATAGATATCTACAGGAGCTCTGGTAGTGTTGTGTCTAAGGCACTTGACTACTAACCAGAAGGCCGGTGTTTCAAACCCACCAGCCACTCCTCAAAAGAATGATTGGGCAATCTACTTCCATAGTGATGCTATATAGATATCTATGTATGCAATAGGAGCTCTGGTAGCATAGTGGGTAAAGCACTTGACTGCTAACCAGAAGGCTGGCGGTTCAAACCCACCAGCCACTCCTTGGAAGGAAGGTTGGGCAATCCTACTTCCGTAGTGATACTGCCTCGGAAACCCAAGGAGGGGTCACTATGAGTCGGGGCCGACTTGACGGCACATAACAACAACAACAACAATGTATGCAATAATGGTGGTTCAGTGGTAGAATTCTCAACTTCCCAGTTACTGTACCTCAAATACAGCCACCATCTGTCTAGAAAGAAAGGCCTGGTGATATGCTTCTGAAAATCAGCCAATGAAAACCCTATAGATCTCAGCAGTCAGATCCCCAACCAAGCATGGGGATGACACAAGACCGGGCAACATTGCTTGACTTTGTGCGAGGGGTTTCCATGAGTTGGGGGCCAGCAACTACATATATATGAAATTGCATCTTAACCATTCTACTGAAAATGCAGCACAAGGTATTTCCCTGTTGGCTGTTTGCAACTCTCAGCATAGGAAAGATTATATTAAATCTTACAGTAATAGACTATTTAACAGTATGTAATTCAGTATTCATAACTGTGGAATAGAATACCTTCTTTCTTTTTCATTTTTTAATATTTATGTTTTATTTACTTATAAAATGTTAACAGCCAAAAAATTACACTTTAAAATTAGCAATTGCATGCACTGTTGCCAGTCAGTAAGCTGAAGTATTGGAGGGCTATCTGTTTTTCAATTATGCGCTCACTGAGTTTGCTGTGTATTTTACTAAAAATTGATCCATCAATGGCATATGTGTCCCTAATTTCTTAGAATTATAGAAATAATTGATTATTTTGACAACAAAGATTTATAGGCGATATTTATGGTTTCTTCCTTTCTCACTGAGTAATGGACTGTTTTTCCCAGTGTTTTGTTTGTTTGTTTGTTAAATATCAACATAAGACAGGTATTTGTGTCCATATTTTTCATTTCTACATTCCCTTCCTCATTTTATAGTCCTTGTATGTACTTTGAAAAGGTACAAATAACAAAGGGTTGACTACACTGAAAACATCCTTACCTGATCTTGTTATGCTAATTGCCTCAGTCTCTCCCCAGCATTTGCTTATGTTGTGATTTGGTTTAAGGAAAGGCAGAAACTGTTCTTGGCTGTTACCCAAAAGATTGGTGGTTTTAATTCACTCAGAGGCTCTATAGGAAAAATACCTGGCAATCTGCTGTGAAGAGTTCAGCCAAGAAAACCCTGTGGGGCAGTTCAGCTCCATCACTTGGGGTCCCATGAGTGGAGATTCAATTCAAGGACACCAAACAACAAGGACAATAACAACACTTCATGTAATTTCCTTACTTCCAAAAGGATTCTGATAGTTTGATCTATTTTAATTACTTAAATACAGCTGTAAATAATAGCTATCTTCATCCTTTACATTCATAAGAAGGAGTAGTATATCTGTGTAATAGACTACTTGCTTTACATCCTATTTCCCCTTTATGATCCATATGCTGTTAATCAGCAAGTCTCATTGATTTTGCCTTTTCAATCTCTCCTATCTGCGTACCTCTCAGTACCTGTAGTCTCAGCTCTAATTTAGACCCTCATCATTTCTCACACCAATTCTGAGACAAGTGCTTCTTTCTTTCTCAAAGTCTTTCTGTCTTCAGTGTCACTCTGCTCTGATCCATTCTCCACACCACTAACAGAAGGGTCCTTCAGACAATACTATTATATCATTTGATTAGAAAATTTAAAATTAAAGCTCATGAGATTAATTTTTAATTATTTGCATGTCCTGCAATATCCTTCATAATTTCATTGAAAATCAGCCATTAAAAACTCTATAGAGCTCAGCAGTCAGATCCCCTACCGAGCATGAGGATGACACAGGACCAGGCAACATTGCTTGACTTTGTGCATGGGGTTTCCATGGGTTGGGGGCCAGCCACTGCATATATATGAAATTGCATATATATGAAATCTACTCATTTTGCCTAATAAGCCTACAGCTATAATGAGTACTAATAACAGTTGCCATCAAGTTGACTCTAACTCATGGAGACCTCACATTGTGTCTGAGTAGAATTGTATGCCATAGAGATTTCAATGGCTGATTTTTTGGGAAGTAGATCACCAGATTTTTCTTCTGGGCACCCTGGGCTGACTTGAACCTCCCACCTTTAGGTTAGCAGCCAAATGCATTCAACATTCGCACTATTCAGAGATTTCTAGTTTTCTGAAAATATGATATTCCTTCACCTCCCTATGCTGACACACGCGCTATGCTTTCTTTTTTTGAGCACTGTTCCTACGCTTGCCTACCTCAATAATTTCCTCTTGAGTTTCAACTCAAATGCTGCTCCTCAGTGAAGCTTTCTCATCTTCATTTTACCAGCAGCCTTAGGCACCACTTCCCCTGTGCTCTCAGGAATATCCCAGTTATAAATATTGTCATATTATATTTTTCTGGCCTTGTTTTTGATTTTCCATTAGACCCCCTTGAAAGGTGCATGTGATTTATAAAGGAGTCTGACAGAGTCTAAAAGTTGTATGTGATTTATAAAATCTTAAAAAAGTCTAATGGAATACCTATACATATTGCCATCAAGTTGATTCTAACTCATAGTGACTCTACGGGACAGAGTAAAACTGCCCCATAGGATGTCCAAGGACGTCATCTTTATGGAAGCAGACTATTGCATCTTTTTTTTTTTTTTTTCCAGTGGAGCTGCTGGTGGACCTTTCAGTTAGCAGCCGAGAATTTAACCACTGTGCCATCAGGGCTCCTTATAGGATTCCTAGCAAGTGGTATCACCTTCTATCCCCAGTGCTTAGTGTCTTAGTACCTAGTGCTGACATAGCAAAAAATATAAATGGTTGGCCTTAAGAAACAGAAATGTTTTGTCTTACACCTCAAGAGGTGAGAAGTCCAAATTCAGGTCATTGGCTCTAGGGAAAGTCTGTCTTGTCTCTTTCAGCTTTTACTAACTGTCTACAATCCAGGGTATTCCAGGGCTTGTAGATACATCTGTCCCCATTGTCACATAATATCTGTCTTCCCTCATCTGTGTGTTTCTTTGTATATTCTGCTTTTTTTATAAGAGGCTATTCAGAAGCAGTTAGGTTTAGGACCTATCTACTCCATTATGATCTTATTAGTATACCAACACTAATACAAAATAGAAAAAGTCTTTTTTCAAACATTGTCTCATTCATAGACACAGAACCTAGGCACCTAGCACATCTTTTTTTTTTTTTTTTTTTTTTGAGGGACACAATTCAATACACAGCACTTAGTAAGTACTGGATTAAATTAGGGGCCAATAGCTAATTGTACCAATGAATGAATGAATGATGAAGTGAATATAGAAATGGATAAATGATAAAATGGGTTCTGAGTTTTTTATAAGGATCTTTGTACTTCCTCAATTTCTTAGAACTTCAGCTCATTAATTTATAAAATATAGGAGTTGGTTGATGGAAGCTGGATATTCCTTAGTTCTAAATAGTCCAGCCAATTGGTTCTGATTGGACACCTGTCAACATGACTAAAATATGTGGAAAAAAAATTCTGTTCCTTATGGGTAAACTAAAATAATAATATTTCTCTTTCATAATGCGTTGAAGTAATGTGTTTGGTTTTCCCATTGATATTCCTACCAACACTATTTCAGATGTCAGTTCTTTTCAATGATAGATTTAATGATTCATTTTTGTATTAGACTTATCTTGGATAATTGTTCTATAGTATAATGAAAGATTTTGTGTCATAATTTAAAATAGGAAAATATAAGCATATCTGTTTGTGATGATTGTTATTTCCTCATTGATTATGTCTTTTGACTCATTTTGCACCATTAAATCTAACTCACAATTTTAGTGAATGAGTACTCATAGTTTCCTGAAGATACAGTATTCTCTCACATTTCTGTGCGGGCACATGCTGTGTTCTTTTAATGGAGCACTGTTCTTACACTTGCCTATCTTATTAACTTTCTCTTAAGACTGCTAAAG